ACTGACATCCTCACTAGGTTGATGTAGCCAATACTAATGGATTTGCCTGATATTTCAAATATGCAGTATCAAGAAGTACGCCAAACATGCAAAATGATGGGTTAATTAAAACTTGTTACCGTTTCCACATTCATATTAACTGAATGAGGATTTAGTGCCATAAGTGATTTGCTGCGAAAAAAAAAGAAATCAGCTGGATATAATAAAAGGGGGAGACTAAAATTAACTAAATTGAAACCTGACATAAAATCTCTTTGTAGCAAGAATCAAGCGCAAGGATCTCATTAAATTGAAATAATAAATAATTACTAATAATTAAAATTATTTTGTACTTAAATGTTAGTTCTCCATTATGTGTTTTGAAAATTTACATACTGTGTTTGCTCAATAATTTCCTTGAGATTTCTTCTTAAAACCCATCATTCAAGTATTTTTTAGTGAAAATTAGAATTTTTGAATATTAAAAAATATGTATATGTTAGGGAGGCACAATAATTTTAGAAAGGCTTAGATGGCGTAAAGCACAAAAAGGTTGGGTAACACTAAGTTTGGTGATTCAGGCTAACACCCAGAATAACATTTATTCAATTTTATACAATTATTCACGGCGTGAAAAGACATTTTTCGATTTTTTTTAGAAGCATTCTATAGGTGTGCTACTTTAGGGTATTTTCACCTATATATTCCCATGGCAGTTTCTTACTGTTTAACCATTCTGTAGGTGGACAATCTTTTGCACTCTTTAAATCACATCCTAGACATTTTATCTTAAAAAACTCTACGCTCGATTATCTATTGTTTATTGTCAGAGATGGGAAGTTGGCGGAGTGGATCGATGTCACGGTAGCTCAAATGGTAGAGCAACGGCGTATCTAGCCGAAGATCGTAGGTTCGAATCCCGCTCCTGACACTGACTTTTTTATCTCAACTAAAAACCTTAATTAATTGAAAGATGTTAATTGGTCAAGCGGACCACGAAATATAATGGATTTTAAAAAAATGTTCAAATTTTATTTATCCAACTTGTCATCCATTTACCTTCTATTAACGTTAAATTAATTAATAATTAATTACTTCTTAGTAACTTTATTAAGTTAATCCATATACAAAATGATACCTTCCTATTTAAAAAAAAATTGCTGAGCTGACAAACCTGGGGACGAACCGTACGTTGAAAAAATTTTTGACCTCAGATTCAGATTCAAAAATATGTAAAGACCAGTCCTATTTTTTTTTTAATTATGTCCAAACAAAAGAAATAAAAGGGGGGTATATAAATAATTCACTGGATAGTGAATCTGATATGAGTCGAAGTTTTAGCTGAGAGAGAATCAATTGTCAAACTTTCAGTCTACATTTGCCTTTCGTTAGTGCTCGATATATTCTTCACACATACAACCACAATTGACCATATCAATTATTTCGTTTCATTATTCTTTTTACCTAAGGTCTTGGTTGAAATGAAAAAGTCAGTGTCACGAGCGGGATTCGAACCCTCGACCTCAATACGCCGCTGCTCCAACCACTTGTTACAATAGCTCAAGTGGTTAGAGCAGCGGCGTATTAAGCCAAAGGTATGGATTATTTATTGTAATTTACAGAATCTGTAATTGCCGATGGGCTGCCAGAAGTCTTAGGCCCAAATGTGTACATGTAAGTATATATGTTGAGCTTATAAAAAACCAGCAATCTGCAAAACTATATTCAATATATAAAAAACTGAGAAACGAATGATAATTAATGGCGAATTTTACATTTAATGAAAAACTGACATTTCATAACTTTCGCATCTTCTAAGAAATACGTTCAATTTTATGATCCATGGGACGACTTGACCTATCATGCACTTTTTAAAAATATCGGGGTTTCGCCAGTCTCATCGACTTGATACTTAAGAGATCTTTTGAGGATTAGAAGAAGCTATCTCTTACAAGGACCTCCACAAACAGCCTACAGAGAGCGTTTAAAAGGAGGTTGCCGAAAAACCGACCAAAATCCTGCAAAGGTAGTCAAGTTCTATGGCCACTTTTATTTCCCTAATACATTTTATAAAAGAATATTTCATATATTTATTTATATGAGATGATTATTTATATTTGACATTTGTTTTGATTCTAAACATTTAAAAATAAAGCTAATTAGCAAGATTAAATAAAATTGACCTACTTGTTAACAAATCCAATAAGTTATTACATACATCTTTCTTTAAAAAACTATTAGTTCGATTTCAATTGTAGCTCTCAAAAATGATAATGTGTCATGCTCTTCATTTCTGTTAGCATAGAACAAACCCTTTGCATACCCGATCGCCAAGGTTTAAAATTTAAATTCAACATATAAAATAGGTGTGATTTTATTTTCAATATATGACATTTCCCCCCGATTCACGATTAAGAACAAATATGAAATTGATGCCCTGAGTTGAAATGGACATACATCTGTTTGATAACAAATTTGGTATGATTCTTCACTTTGGTTTAAAATTGCGCATATATTTTTTTATTAACATTTAATAGGTTAGAATCTAACGGAATTTGTTGATCATAACAAGTTCTTTAGATTATAGGCACAGTATACATTGTTCTGGATTATCACATTTTTAATTTAATTGTCGACGTTTCGGAATTATTAAAGGCCTGAAGAAAATACAAACATATGTTGATTGTGAAACTTGTGTAAAAAATTAAACAAGAAAAATGTAAATGATCAATTAAGGTTTTCAGTTGAGATAAAAAAGGCAGTGTCACGAGCGGGATTCGAACTCACGATCTTCGGCTAGATACGCCTCTGCTCTACCACTTGAGCTATCGTGACCTCGATCCACTCGGACACTAACTTCCCATCTCAACCCCACCTTTTTTGGGGTCGCCGCGATTCAAATAGATTACACGACATTTGAAAAATGGCAAAAAGGAGGGAAAATTCAAAAGGCGGGGTTGAGGTGGGAAGTTAGTGTCCGAGTGGATCGAAGTCACGATAGCTCAAGTGGTAGAGCAGCGGCGTATTTATCCGAAAGTCGTGGGTTCGAATCCCGCTCGTGACACTGACTTTTTTACCTCAACCTAAAAAACCTTAATTAATTGAAATATATTAATTGGTCAAGCGGACCACGAAAACTAGTGAATGGAAGTAAATGATGAAGTTTAGTTAAATCAAAGAACTGATATTCACAAAATTGTAGAGCTATTTTTGTTGTGTCATGCTAGTTAAATGAATACCTGAAATTGGACTTGAGAAGTGAATTTGTATCCTTGTGTTTTTTTAACATTGTCTCAGTTTGGGGAAATCGGTGAAAAGTATGTAAAAAGAGAGGAAACTTCCCATTTTATTGTTTTGGACTGCTTCCTATAGATAAAACAGTGGCTGTTCACTATGTTGATGGGGTACTTACCTCATTTATATCACTTCGATAGCTGATATCTGTATTTCAAGAATTCATGTTACATCTACAATGTTTGATATACAGCATTGAGTCATTGATGAAAACTGCAATGAATTAAGGAATATATTGGGGGCTGTCGTGTTATTCGAATATTAATAAGGAAGACGTGTAAGGATTGTCTTGGTGATTAATGATTCAATCGAATAACTTTGAATGAAAGGTGCAATAGTGATGTTTTCTATTGGTCCGCAATCTATCGAACAATAAATAGCTTGAAGTCTTCTATCAAGGTTGCAGCTTCAGTCTGCCTGTCTAGTTTTTTTAAAATAAGTATTGCAAATTTAATAACGTGCATATGATGTAAATATTGTTAAAGGAAACTTGCGTTTGAGACAAAGCCCAGATATCGGCTAGAATCGTATTCGTCAAATATGATTTCAAGTGTTGGGTTCTTCCCCCGGACCTTTTGTCGCGCCATTTCGCCTACCCTGCATTATTCGACCCACTGAAGTCCCAGTTTTCAGAACCACATTCGAGAGTCAGCACTGAAAAACAAACCTCTCAGTAAGCGACACTTCGCATAACAATCACAATCGAGCTAGCCCTGGATGATGTGTAAATACCTAACCAAGTCCATCAGCGACAAGGCTTGAGCATCAAAAATCGATTGTTAACTGATATGACAACAGTACGATTCAGTTGGATGAGTTTCTTCTTTTTGCTATCGAATCTTTATTTTGGTTTCGATGATTTTCCTCAATCCAGGTGTAAACATTAATAGTTGTCTTTAAACGCAAACTCAACATTAATAACTTGTTGTTTACCTTTACGGTATGTTACTAATCCTTTGGCACTCTCGAGTGAGTTGGTTTTTGGAATCTCGTCCGGGGTCAACGCCGGCCGTAGCATCTGTTACAACGCCCATGACCGGGTTGTGCCGCGCCCTACCATCCACGATGGTCTACAGTGGTTTATTGCCACCAGAAGTCTCGATTAAGAGAAAGAGGTGTCGACCACGATGGCTAGAGTGATCGTTGTGCTCTTACCATCATTTAAGGGATTCGTAATATCGAGTACTCCATCACCCTAATTGAATGAATGTAAATAGAAGTGAACGTATTTAAAAATGAATGAGAGTACGAATGGACTCGGAAATGCGTTGGGTACTGGATTGACCTAGCTGTTGGCAGCCCTCCCCTAGGTAAGACTAGGTGGCTGGTCGGATAAGGCTGTGATCTGACTCCGGACTGCCAACACCCGAGGTGGGTGATTCTCGAGTCTGCCGGCAATTTAATAAACATCAAAAACTGGAATTGCCGGTGGACTACGAGAAGCCAATAGGCTCAACTCGGCACAATATAGCCTATACAAATCCAAATAGCAAATCCAAATTTTTGATCGCGTTTGATTAGATTTGCATAAAATATATATCTATCTAAAATCTAGTATATTGTAACTAATATAATGGTGAATTTATGCGTACTACGACTTTTAGAACGATGCTAAAAATATCAAAACGAGGATGGACTCAAAAGAAAAGGATAGTTTAGGAATGTTAGAAAAAAGACTTATCTTAGGAAAAATTAATTTCAAACATAATATTTACAATGTTCGTATATTTGCAACATTCAATAGAAGGAAGAAGAAGTAGTGAAGGGTAAAAATAAATTCAATAAATTAAGATTTAATAAATAAATAAATACAATTTTTTGGCATTTCTAGCTTGTAGGATGACCCATGTTTGGGAATAGTTCCAATTGAGCCTTGCCGACCCGAAATCAAAAAGTCTTCTTTTTACTGGACATCATCATTGAGACCTGGCTTGAGCGTGGTATGCCATATCCTGAGCCACTTCGCGTTCGTAACTCCTTCCCCAGCCACCGCCGCTGTGCCCGCCTCCGTGTCCCTCGGCGTAGACGACCTGGTGGGATTCTCCGCCTCCGCCTCCGCCGACTAGTTTCTTGAGACCGATGATGGCGGAAAGTAGAAGGGCCATTTTGCCGATCAGCAATGCCTTGCCGGCCAGAAGAGCGATCTTGCCCATCGCCATCTGCACCATCATTCCTCCCATGGCAAGAGCTGCCATCAGTATCGGTCCTCCTTTCTTGCTTTTCTTCCTTCCTACAAATAAATTTGTATAGCTTAATAACACGACGATTAATAATATAATAAAAATGACGCGGTTAAGAACAAATATCTAGGCAATCATTAAATTATTTTTCTTGGTCTCACTGGCAAACAAAAAAGTTATGAAAAAATTTATTTCGTTTTTACTTTAGTGAACCAAAAACAATCGAAATTGTTTTCAATCCATAAAGCTCTCTAATCCTGTATGTCCAGCACAATCCAAGTCTTTATAAGCCTTTAAGGCAAATGGAAACGTATTCTTTTGAGAGTAAATGAAGAATATTGGTCCTTTGTTATTTAAAATTTTTTAATATTTGGGCGATTCCCAAAAAGTAAGCAATTTGGCGTTTTGGAAGAGTTAACCATCTGCACTTCTTTAAAATGTAAAGTTAAATATAATGTTGTCTATACACCTTTAAAAGACCTTTTTTAATAGAATAAATATTTCTTAATGTTATTTATTGTGATTTATTCCCTCCTGAAGTCTGCGTGGTGATAAACCTTTAATTTGATAGGTTTATAGCTATCATATTTTTGACATATCATCTTTGCCTATCCTCGCTGATTTTTGTCAGCCAAACGCGTTTCGACAATTCGTCATCTTCGGTCACACAAACACCGAAATGTCTGACTGACAAAAATTAAAGATAGGCAAATACGCAGACGAAATATGATAGCTAACTACCAAATATATACGATTTATGTTACTGCAGACATTTTATGGATTTGTTTATTTTTACCATGATCGTTCATACATATAAACCTTTAATTTGGATTTGTTTTATTATTGCGTATTTTTTAAAATTGATTAATAATAAATTATCCAAATATACGAAAAATAAAAATATATGTAATTCGATGTAGAAATCCTCATTATTTTATTCACCCTAATATAGAAAATTACGATCAATCAGCATTATATTCACGATAAATAAGAAAAAAAAAAGTGAACTCGCCAAGAGAAAAATCTTTTCCCCCCGACAATTTTAACGGCGATTAAAACCTGTAAAATAAAGAAAAAGTGTACAAAACAGTATCCGCAACACTTTCTCATTCGTTGGGCTCGTCTTCTACGAGGAAAACTGCCCAAGATGGATTTGTAGGCAAACGTGATTCACCGATTTATAAAATTTTGACCAAATGTGATTTCTTTGTAAATAGACAATTCTTTGTTGGATAGATTATGAAAAATTAAATTAAAGTATAAATAATTAAGGACTGTTGGGAAAGTATTTCTAAATATTTCCTCGTCTGTAGTGGCTATAAGAAAGATGATGTTTTTCTTTTGGGCTGATTGTATAAATTTGATCGTATCGGAATATACTTGCCTATGATTTTATTGGACTTTATGCTTCGATCTCAAGGTTAATAGCGATAATCGGTGAAACAGGATGATTCTGGGCGAGCAGACTGCGGAATTATGCCCAACAATTTATCAACTATCTAATAACCCGAAATAAAATCGTATGTTGAAAAAAATTAAGTTTCTCGTCAATGAAAAATAAATGTAAAACTAATCTATACAACTTTTAAGAATTTTTTTTTGCTTTGGTATTCTTATTGGAGTAAATATAAGTTAAGTAAATGCCAGGATAAAAAAATATAATATTGCTAACTGCCAAAAATTTCGACGGATTTCGACTAAATAATGATAAAATATTGCAAAATTTTGCTTAAGGATATTTATATTTTTCTAAAATAATAGTTAAATTTTTTTGCTGTTTACTCTACAATTGAGACACTTGTACTGAAGCTTGGAATTTTCTTTATTAACGGAACGTTTTTGATTTTATGACATGAGCCCACTACAGTGTTAATTACATTTGTATATCTTATAAAAATCTTTTTGATAATTGGCTGTTCGTTTTCAAATATATTATATTAGTAAAATTAGCTGAACTTTTCAACAACGTGTAATCTTTTGATCATTTATCTCTAAGTATCAATCTTATCAACTATGATTATTATTATTTAGATTATTATTTTTTTATATATGTCTATAATATACTATATTGGGAACAATTTTTTTTCTTTTTGCAAATTTACATTACTATTGTAGATATTTATGTATACTGTTCGTAACCAATTTAATCTGGTCTCATTTATTTTTGTTAAAATGCATTTTACATTTTCAGAATCGTGTTTGTTACTTGTGTGTTATCATTTATTTTATTTTCTATCATTTTTTGTATTAAGGATATTAATTATGAATGGTCATTATAAATTGATGTGCATAAACAGTTTTCATTATTATTCAGAAATCGTGAGATGCGGTCTGGTGTCATGTAGGTTTCAGAAAAACATTTCCTTTATCGTGCCAACGTTTCGATCTTTATTGCAATCATCTTCAGGGCCATGTCTTTCTGAAACCTACATCACACCAGACCGCATCTCACGATTTCTGAATAATTATCGATTAACGGTCACTAATCACCACACAGTTTTCATTATTTTAGATAATTTAATAATTATATATGCTTATAAATATTATCAGGCAAACAAATCCTTCGATTGAGACTGATTTTCGGTTAAATGTACACGTTGAAAATTTTCATACGATTACTTAAATTATTTTTTCATTATATCATCTTATAATGGTATTTTTCTTGATAAATGTACCAACTAAAATTTTTTCTCAGGTTTATTGGACCGAAAATCGAATGGGCTTAATAATTTCAAATTGAGTGTGGTCCAAGAAAACTGTTATTCCAAATTGATCAATTTTCGGTCCGTATATTCTCGTTCATGTTATGCGGTTTCCCTCAGACTTGTGTAGATGTGAGACTGATTTATTTTTTTTTCATATTAATTTGATGCCGTTATTAATGGTGAAAAGGATACAAAATAGATAATTGAGAAAATAAAAACGATCAGGTTTTGTATTAATTGAAAATACCTAGTTCAAATGGAATTGGTGCAATATAAATTGATAATTTCTGCTCCGGTTTTTTTTCGATTCCTGGTCTGTGGTCAGTCAGACCTGAATTCGTGCTGGTTCAATTGACGGTTGAACCAAAAAACAATCATTGAAAAAATTGAAAAAAAATGAGGAATTTTTAAATCAAAGTTGCATGAATTTATTCTCAAATTGACCCCTCCCCCCCAAAAAAAGAACTAAAAACTAAAAATTTGTGTTTTCTTTTAACTGCCTGTATAAAATTAGTTCTTTCATAATAAGATGTTTTTGATCAAATTAAACCATGAATTACATAAAAACATAAACAGTTTATCATTTGCTTGTTGTAATACATCGCAAATGCATACCAGAATGTGTTGAACTTTGTGTCGATAAAAATCGATCTACTTTGATCAGCTTAGCTTCGTTGTAGGTTGCCAGGCCGTGACTAATCCGGTGGATAGTTCGATACGGATGATAGGCGGAGCAAAGATACAAGGATTAACAACTCCGATCTCTATATTTTTAATTTTTAAATAATGTTTTTAGTTCAGACCCATGGCCTGCAGAACATATTTTATGTTTCTGTGAAAGTCTATGTAGGTGTAGGTTCTTGCAATTAGGTCAAGAAAAACCGCACGCAAGATCCAACTATGGAGCCACTGGTAAAGCTATGGAGGCTGATTAACAACCAGAAGCTGGCCAGTGAGTTATAAAAAACAGGGGAGCACAATAGATCTATTCAGGTCGAGGTGCAGTAGGTCTTGTGGCCGCCTCTTTTATCCCTATCCCTATCCGTATCCATAGAATCCTGTCAAAATTGATTGCATTGAAAATTCACTGCTTATTTTCATTAATCTGCTTTAGGTGTGTCAGGACTACAACTACGATAATACCGAAATTTCCTGATCATGTTGTTTGGATAATGTGAAACTAGTTTTTCTGAAAACGGATTTTGAAATATTAATGTATACCTTCGACGATATCAGCTGCTGGTACTGTGAACTGAAGAGATCGCGACTGGAGGAACCTGGTCATTTTGTCGGCGATCATCTCGTCCAATTTAGAATCCTTCTTTTCCGGATCGGCAGGTAGGTTGGAAGAGATTTCCGATTCGGAGCGGGCAGTTTCGTTCCGCGGTGCGTTTTTGTCCGGGGTGAGCGAGAGGAAGTCGTTGATGACCACCGGGCTCTCCGAGTCGAGCGCCCTGTCCAACATGGTGACAGCTTTCAGCCTGAGGCAGGTCCCGAGATCGTTGCCCTTTTCATTGCACTTTTCAAGAGATCTGTACAAGACGCGGAGGTTGCCCTCGAAACTCTCGCCGGACGCTGCTGCGACGGCCACAACGAGCAAAACACTGAGAGAACGAACGTGCATGGCGAACTGTGATTGTAGCCCTTTCTCACCAGGCTTTTATACTCCTGACCGCCCCACTCTCTTCGTACGCGCGATTTCTGGAGCGTACCTTATCTTTACTCGGACAATCTCCGATTTGCACCTAAGTCGAAGATTCACGTACCGTTTCATTCCGCCTTAACAACGCATAAAGGAAATCTACATTTATTCCCAATATCTTCCAAAGATACTTAAAATCGCATGATTTTGTTATTTGCTGTTTTAGCTTAAGGGATTTAAGATGTTTCCTTTACTTCAGTTAATAAGTCTCGTGCAATGATTTACTAATTCTTTTTATGAGTAAAATTTCGTTCAGTTCTTCCTTAGATAAAATATACAGGTAAAAATAAAAAATATATAAATTATAAAAATATATTCATTAAATCAAAACGTTCTTCAAGTCGTCTTTCCCTCATACTATGGGTTTTTAATATCATCTAGATATCTATCTCTAATATCTATTCTTCAATTTCATGTTGCCCCATATTATATGGTTAGACCAATTCCACTTCACAGTTTTAACCTTAACCTTTATGTCATGCAATCTTGTTTTATAATTTAATTACGTGATACACTGTACAAAACCCCTGGTGACGAATACGCACCACTTTCGGATATAATATAAAGCACAACTGTTTCAACTTTAATTGACAATGCGTGGTGTTTAATGACCGTTATTTACTGATTATTTGGAGATCGTGAGAGGTTTTAGATTGTCTGTTTTGCGAGTGCCCTCCCACACGACAGACATGAATGACACATCTACACGGAAAACAAACACATTGAGCCCTGAAGATGATCTCAATAAAGATCGAAACGTTGGCACAATAAAGAAAATGTTTTTCTTAAACCTACGTCACACCAGACCGCATCTCACGACGTCCAAATAATCTTTAATTGACAAATTACACTTGAAACAGTAAAAATTGCACACTTACAACACTAAAAACTCTCATAAATGCATTAATAACAGCTCATATAAATCATTCACACAATTTAAGCCTTTAAAACATTGCACGAATATAAAAAAAAACACCAATAGTCACAAAGACCGGAACAAGAATAAAACAGTCACAATAGCGATAGTAGGCCTGCTTCGACTTTTCATGAACTGATAAAAAAGGTTCAACTAAACGAAAATCACATAGACACAGCACTGAAGATCTCTTTAAAAAATCGTTCTTACTCCGAGTTGATGTTCACAAGATCCGCATTTCAAGCATTAAACTCTCATCATCAGTTGAAGGAGTTACAAACATGTCTCTCGACTGAATTATAAGAGTGAACCCACAACAAAAATTAATAACAACTCATCTTCACAAAATTTGAGCTAATAAAAAAACTGATTGTCATAAAGGCCGACTGGAACAATAATAAAACAATAAATAATAAAACAGTCTAATAAAGCGACAGTCGACTTTTCAGGAAACAATAAAAAATCGCGATTAACCGACACAAGACTTTTTACGAGTGTTCGCAACAGCAGAGGTCATATTAACCCTCAGGGTGCCGGTGATTTTGACACAAAGCCCATTGGTAAGTATGACGGGTTCGAATGAAGGGCCGCTGGATTCGAACCGGGGACCTTTACCTTAGAGAGATGAGCGCCGTGTCAGTGCCCAAACCGTTGCGGCCACTGACGCCCCCGAAAACATAGGTCTGAAAATGTTTTTAGAAGATTGTTCTTTCTCAGATTTGTTGTTTACGATCCGGATTTCAAGGATTAAAAGCTCATCATCAGATTGAAGAAGTTACAAACACGTCTATCGAATGAATTATAATGCTGTAACCGTAATACAAATTAATAAAAGCTTAGATACACCTTCACACAATTTGAGCTTTTAAAACATTGAATAAATTAAAAAAATAAATAAATGATATAAAAAATCTGATTTTATCAAAGGCCGCTCGGAAAAATAATAAAACAGTCTAAAATAGGAACTAATAAAAAGTCTCGTCTAAACGAAAATCACACACCTACCCAGCACTAAAGATTGTGAGAAACCAAAACAGCTAGGATAGGCAGACCAAAATGGTCAAAAACGACCAAATTAAAGTCTTTGTAAATTTCCCAAAAATTTATGTTTGAAAAAAAAAAGGATTCTGGATCAACGTTGTTCTTTTTATTGTAACTTTTTGCACATATTGTTTCGTGTTCATAAAAACCATCATTTTTGAAACTGTCTTCCTTGGAGGAACGGTATGAATACAATCAAGTCACTTTCGATGTTTAGGGTTTCTCCAGGAAACGCATTTTTTAACATCTCATATCACATGAGCTTTTTAATATGAACTAACTTGACAAATATTTATGGTCTGGTACGGTTTATTTTCACCTTCACATGTTTGAGAGCCCACTAACAGTGTCTTATGGTACCCCAATTCCAAGGCAAGTACCAGATTTGATCAGAAAGCTGTCAAACCTTTCATATCCATCGACGGCCCTCCTGAGTCTTATTTTTTACAAGGATGTATTATATTTATGTATATTATATGTATTGTATTATGTTTATTTTTTTAAACCGACGCTGAGGGTGAGTTTCACTGGTTCAGTAGGTGTAATTTGTGTTTCGAACCCTGGCCCAGTTTTTTAAATGGTAATAGTATCTTCGTTCGTGGCACCCAACGGGATGTTAATCCTTTCAAAATGATAGTTACTTTTTAAAAATTTCATTTGAAATTTTGTCATTTTAATTTTTTTTATAATGGTGGAACGTGTATCTGCAAACGATTCTACCAACGGAGAATAAGCTTTATAAGAATAACTATTGGGTTGTCCGGAAAATAATGCAGGATTTTGGTATTAAACAAAAAAAAAGAAACTAGTTACTTTAAAGCAATGTTCTTTAATCAAAATAATTTCCCATACTCTCAATACATTTCTCCCAACGTGTTGGTAACTTATTAATTCCGTCTGAGTAGAATTCAGAATTTTTAGAATTGATAAAGTCAATAAATGCATTTTCCAGTTCCGTTTGATTTTTGAATATTATGTGTTGTAAGTAGTGGTCCAGGTGTCTAAAAAAATGGTAGTCAGTAGGCGAGAGGTCCGGAGAGTAGGGTGGGTGAGGCAAAGTTTCATAGCCAAGCTCCAATAATTTTTGTGACGTTACACGTGACACATGTGGTCGAGCGTTGTCATGCAACAAAATGGGCCCTTTCCGATTGACCAAAGAGGGCTTCATTACTGCCAATTTCTGATGCATGGTATTAATTTGGTTACAGTATGATTCAGCATTGATGGTTTCGCCAGGATTTAAGAAGCTGTAGTGTATTAAACCAAATGAAGCCCACCATACCGTAACCATTACCTTTTTTTGATGAGTTGGGGGCTTTGGAAAATGTATTGGAGCTTCTCCTTTGTCGAGCCACTGTCCAGAACGTCTAGTGTTATCGTAGAGAATCCACTTTTCGTCACATGTAACAATTCTGGCCAGAAATGGGTCATTTTTGTTTCGACAAAGAAGTGATGCACAAACATCAAAGCGCTGATTTTTTTGGCGATCGTTTAATGAGTGTGGAACCCAATTTTCGAGTTTTTTCACTTTTCCAATCGCCTTGAGGTGGTCAGCGACGGTCGTTTTACTGACTTTGAGTTGCTCTGCAAGTTCTCGAACAGTTGTTTTGGGGTTTTCTTCCACCACTGATCGCAGAACATCATCATTAAGAGAGGAAGGCCTTCCACGACCTTCTTCATCTTCAAGGCTGAAATCTCCCTCCCGAAATTTTTTAAACCACCTTTGCACAGTGCACTCATTAACACAACCCTCGCCCCAGACTTGGTTAATGTTTCTAGCCGTTTGGGCTCCGCTTCGGCCGAGTTTAAACTCGTAAAAGAAAATCGTACGAAATTCTCGCTTTGACATTATAAGGATGACTGAATTATTTCCAAGTAGCGGAATGCTACAGAGGTAAACAAACAATATCATTTGGAAGAGGATTAATAAGTGTTGACATTCATACAAATGAGTAATCCTGTAAACGTAAACAGAATATTTTATATAGATTTTTTTTAATGAAAACTTAAAATCCTGCATTATTTTCCGGACAACCCGATAAAAGGTTGGAAATGTTGGATTTTTGCAACAAACAGTGTGGAATAGCAAGTTAAAATTTACAAATAACTTATTAAATTCACTAGTTTTCGTGGTCCGCTTGACCAATTAATATCATTCAATTAAGTAAAGTTTTTAGTTGAGATAAAAAAGTCAGTGTCACGGGCGGGATTCGAACCCACGACCTTCGGCTTGAGTGGTAAAGTAGCGGCGTATCAAGCCGAAAGTCATGGGTTCGAATCCCGCTCGTGACACTGACTTTTTTATCTCAACTAAAAACCTTAATTGATTGAATTTATAAATAACGTAAAAGATTATTTGTGAACGAAATGATTGCTTGATTGCTTCACAAAATTTGAGAAATAGATGTGTTCACTTTTGATAAAAACTTCTCATAAAAGGCAAAGAGCTCCACAAATCACTAGAAGTTATTAATTCTTAATAACTTATGAAATGAAATATTTCTGTATTTTAGATTTTTTGTTTCGTAATTTACTAAACATTGTATGCGTGCTAGTTGGCCAATTGTAGAAGTTACAAATTACCTTTTTATTTTTAACATTTAGATTTGGCCTTTTTTAAATTGGAATTAAACCCTGGATTTCACAATTGCTTAGGAGAGTATAAAATTTTGTTTTTGTAAATAAAACCTACTTTGCATTTAACTTGTCAAACACGTATGGAATTGGTCAAACCGACCTTGATATTTTTTAATAAAATAATTTATTTTTGATTTTCCCCTAATAAACTGATACCGTCTTTTGTTTTCTTTTATTAAGGAGGAATCTTCTTTGTAAAAATATTTCCTTACAACATTATGCAGTGATCAAGATTTCGAGAAAAACATGACAAAGAAGAAAGAGAAACTCTAAAAACGAATAGTTATAATATAACAATTAGCCAAATAGTGCAAAACGAATTTTTGAG